AAAAAAAAAAAAAGTGCAAAAGTGGAAGGCGTGCGGAAGAGGGGGCGAGTATATAACAAACTATATTTTGAGTGGAAATGTTGGGGGGTCGTCTTATACGCCGGGTCGTCTTATACGCCGGCATATACGGTACTTATATTTTATTTTCTAATATGAGGATAAGGTACCTTTTATGAATTAGGATGGGATTATTAAAACTGAAAATAAAAAAGGCAATCAAATGTAATTAATGGAACATGAACATATCCTGGAAGATTGGTAGTGATTAGGGAAAAGACTTTAAAAAACCCAAACAGCTAAACTAGATTTGCTTTTATTTTCTTGTCTAACTACTATCCATTCCTCATCCTCACTTCCATTTTTTCCTTCCTTCCAATGAAGCTAATCTTTTCTCCTCATCTCATGTCATCCTTGATTTTTCCCTTTTTATTTTATGCTGAAATAACTATGTACTTCTTAGTGTTCCGCTTACGGTATGAATGTGTAAGATCTTTGGCCAAATGAAGCTAGTCTCTTCCCTTACCCTGATTACTGACTTCATTAAGTCAGTGTCTTCTGATCAGTTCGTCCTGATGCAGATTTTTTTTTATAAATATGCTTTAAAGAAAAAGATGAATACTGTAACTTTTTCATCATTTTCATATATCACTTTTTTCTATTTAAAGTGCTTTTCTTCCTATTGTCTCTTGGTATTTTATTGCTTCTGCAAGTCCTTTTGAGTTTTATGCGTACCTTTGAAACTGAGCATTGATTTCAGTATCTTAGCTTCTCATTCAAGAAGCTTAATTGTTGGATATGTTGGGAAGAGGATGATAAGCAAAATGCTTTCTTCTTCCTAAGAAAAAAACAGTCTACTTGCCTTTTAGGAAAAAGGACCTTTGAGACAACTATGACCTGGGTGGTTGAGAATCTCCACAGACATTTTTCCAGTGATTTTACAATGTAGTGTGGAAATTACTGCAGCCATGATAGCAACCTCAGATGAGAAATTCAGCAATTCTGTCACTCCATAGTTACTGTATATTTATAGTTATCAGAAAGTATGTTTCAGTATTAATAACATATTTAATTTAAAAAATTGGGGTTTAATACAATTGAGATATGCATACAAGAAGTAATGTTTTTATATACTTGTAGAACTGATTTTTATGTAGTAAACAAGATACAACAATATGTTATGCTCTCACTGTATTAAATAAGAAATTTAAAAAAAATGTACTTTCCAGGTCAACAACAAGGACAGGATGGAGGAATGAAAGTACAACAAGCAACAATAGCTCCTGTAACTGTAGCAGTTGGAGGTATAGCTAATGCAGCAATGGGTGCAGTTAGTCCTGATCAAATAACTCAAGTGCAGCTGCAACAAGCTCAGCAAGCATCTGATCAAGACATGCAACCTGGCAAAAGATTAAGAAGAGTTGCTTGTTCATGTCCTAATTGTAGAGAAGGGGATGGAAGGTATTTGCCATAATTACTATTAAATATCAAATGTCTTGGGATCAAAACATTTATTCTGCTTACATATTTCTGTTACATCTTTAATGACATGTTTATTAACATAGCCCTTATTTGAAATTGTTCTGACTTTAACTAATAGTGATTTGTATTTGATAGAAGCAGCAATGAACCAGGAAAAAAGAAACAACATATCTGCCATATTGAAGGCTGTGGAAAAGTATATGGGAAAACATCTCATCTTCGGGCACATCTTCGCTGGCATACAGGGGAAAGGCCATTTGTGTGCAATTGGATCTTCTGTGGGAAAAGATTTACAAGAAGTGATGAATTGCAGAGACATAGACGAACCCATACAGGTGAGTGAACAGTTTAAATAAATATTAAAAAAATAAAATTTGTTTACATTTTAATATTCTGACATTTAAACTTATATAACATTTGAATATGTTTCCTTCAGTCAGAACTTGCTGATTAATACTTCAGAGTTCTTACTGAGCTTATTTTTTTAGATTATTGGAAATGAAAGCTCAATTATTATTTAAAAATAATTGGGATACACTTTTGAGCAGTATCTCAATATGTGTTACTATTTATTTTTGCATTTACTGAATAATCAATTTCTCAGTTCTCTATCCCCGAAGTAAAGTGAGTATTTTTGGGATCAATCCCTTTATGTTACTTGGTGAATTTATTTTCAGTTTGTATTTGAAAAAATTATAATTAGCTGATAATAGTACAGTGTAACTTGCTGTGTGTAGTAACTATTCAGATTTTCTTCTTTTTAAGCTTAATGTTCCTTTCCATGTTGATTTTTACAATACATAATTTCAAATTCAATTCTTAAGATACAGGGGGATATTGTATGAAGAATACTCTTTAACTAGATGTACATGATGTAAATTGGAAGCTAACTGAAAACATACATACCTTAACAATTAAAAAGATCACACTGAATCATGATTGCTTAGTAATTACATTTCTGTTTTAGAAGATAATCAAAACATAGCGGTGAACTAACTGAAATAATATTGTAGAAAACCAGTATTTTAGAACAAACTTCAGTTAGACTCAAGATCTTATTTCAGGATTGAATTGTCTATGATGAGTATTCTATCCTAAGGAATAAAAATATAATTGTTTGATTTCTTGATAACCTTTAACAATAATTGTAATTGCTTTTAGCGCTGTTGACTGATCATCCTTGTGAGAGAGGAAAAAGATGGTTGCACTCCTATTTGATGGTTGGTCGCAGAGTAAATCTTTCTGGCTTCTGGTAGTTGTATTGCATTGGAAATCCCTATCTTATTTCTGATAACCCTCAGATTATTTCTTAGGCAATTGGAAGAATAATGTCATCAGCATCCTCCTGAAATGCAGCTTAGTTTGTAAGACTTATCTGAATCAGGGCAGTAAAAGCTCAGTATAAAATCTAGTTAGCATAAATAAATGCTGGTAACAAAGAATTTCTGTGCCTGGCAGTTCTAGATATAGAATATAGATAATTTCCTGTTCTGGATATTGAACCTTCCAGACATATAAGAATGGAGTGGGAGATGCTCGTAGAATAAACATTTTACTGGAAGCCCAAGTTGCTCTGATGGCAAAGAGTATATTTTATGACACTAGGAACTGTGGTGGCACAGTTCTTAGAATGCAGTATTGAATGCAGCCTCTAGTTTGACCGTAACCAGCTCAAGGATGAATCAGCCTTCCGTCCTTCCAAGGTCAGTAAAATGAGGACCCAGATTGTTGGGGGCAATATGCTGAAATTTGTAAACCACTTAGAAAGTGCTATGAAACAGTATATAAGTCTTTATTGCTATTGCTATTAATAATCTCATTTCTATGTTATAATTAGTCATTGAGCACTACTCATATGCACTGCAGAGATGCTATTGTTCATAAACAATGCAACAAAAATATTTTTGATACAGCGCATATAGCTAATAACATAAAATTGTACATTGAACTGGCTACTGATTATTAATAGACGACTCAGATTTGAAGAATTAACCTAGAAGTGCTTAAATGTGCTGGAACCAGGATCCCCTTGAATTGTCTTCTTTATACATCTACTTGACTATCACAATCATTATTAGAGGCTTTCATGATTATACCACAAAATTTCTGTATTGCCTAACTGTACAACAATCAGGAATAATCTTTTTGTTGTGTTAGTTGTGGGGCAAATATTTTAAATTGCTTTTACTCCAAAAAAGAAATATTCAGGGTGTTTCATTTCAGTTAAGTTCATGTAGAAGACATTTTATCTTTTGGTGTTGATACATAGGATATTCTTAATTTATGCTTGCTTAATGTTTATTGTTGTATATGACAAACACTTTAGAAACACATAAATATAGAGCTGCTTAAGATGTTTCAAATTGGTCATAACTGTAAAGAAGACGAAGAAAGGACTCAAGGAGGTATAAATATTATATTGCATATACAAGTATTTTAGTTACTTAAATTCTTCAGTTATTTAATTTCACTTTAAATATCAATACAGATATTTTACATTGAGAATCATTTGAATCGGGTGAGATTCAACCGGTGCTACTACTGGTTCGGTGAGAGTGCATCTTGCACGTGCGTGTACAGCATTTGCAAAAAAAATCAGCTGTGCCACGGATGCACAGCATTTGAAAATCCTCTTCTTTCCTGTTTTCAACCTCAGCTATGCTGCGCAAAGCAGCTGAGGTTGAAAAAACAGGAAATAAAGGACAGCCAAGAGCCCGGGTGGGTGGGTGGGCCAAACAGACGACCCAAAGGTTGTCGCAGCTAACCAGTTCGATGTCTGCTGCTCTTCGGAGCTACTGATTCTATAGAACTGGGCCAAACCGGTAGCATCCCACCCCTGATTTGAATATATGTTTTAATACAATAAGCCTTCAATTTAATAAAACTATTTGGAAGACTTCATCATCTAAACTGAAAACTAACCCTTTATCCCCATTACCGCCAGCAATCTTATCCCAGCAGCCTGTTTTCTCCAGTATGTTCTCTTCCGTCAAAAACTCTAATTGGCTCTTTAAGCAGCACTTGATTTTAACAGGTACCTATTTCTTCCATCAGATTGTTAAATTGAAGGTATACTTACAGGAAAAATTGTTAGTCATGGCACTGTACTATATTATGCTTAGATGAATTATGCCCATGATGTTAATTTGAAAATGTCTTGACAGGGGAGAAAAGATTTGAATGTCCAGAGTGTTCTAAAAGATTTATGCGAAGTGATCATCTCTCCAAGCATGTCAAAACACATCAGAACAAGAAGGGTGGAGGAACAGCCCTTGCTATCGTTACCTCAGGTGAATTGGACCCTTCAGTTACTGAGGTTCTTGGATCTCCAAGGATTGTCACAGTAGCAGCCATTTCTCAAGATTCAAATCCAGCAACTCCAAATGTTTCAGCAAACATGGAGGAATTCTGAAATAATGTTACATAGATGCCTAGAACTGCACTTAAGTTTACATACTTTTCAAGATATGAAAGTGGGCTGATAAAAGTGTATTACAGAGCAGGAAATCATGTATTCAGTCTTGATTACTATAAGTATATCAAGCTGGAAAATTAGCATAAAAAGTGTACTTTGTACAATAAGACAACGTTAAGAAAGAAAGTAGAACTAATTCATGTAGACAAATTATGGATAAAACAGATTAGGAAAATATTACTTCCACACAGTACTGATTTCTGTAGTTCTTTATCACATAAATAATTTTTAATTGGATTTATCAGATGTAAACGTTTGTTGAAACAACAAACTGTAAGAATATGCAAGAGAATTGCTGCTGATTTTTAAGTTTTCCTTTTAAAAAATCTAGTATTTTAATGGGAATTTACTTTGTCCAAAAGGCACAAAAATATGAATTACTCTAGTGAAAATGAAAACTTTTTTTCTTTGTGAGACATATATATTAAATTGGGCCATCTTTATTCGTTTGTTAAAAATCAGATGGTAGCATATGAAATGGATCTGAGGTACATCTCAGATAATTTTGGCCACTACATTATAGTAGTGTATATAATGACAATCAGAAAATACAGATTATTCTCTTTCTAGGAGAGATGAGAGATCTACAGAGCCAGTGTATTCTGTAGTAAATACTGAATTTCAGAAATATATTAACATAAAAATGTAATTAATTTCTATGTAAAAATTAAATTTGATAATATGTGTTACAAATCTTGTATCCTAATTCAGCCCATTTCACAACACAGGATCTATTCTTAAAAAGTGATTAATCTCTGTTTTGAAGCCAGTAATTTAAATATTTAAATTTTATTCAACACTTGATAATGGGAAGTAAAATGTTACAAGAATGTAGCATTTATGCACCATTTATAACATTTTTTCAATAGCAAACATTAAGGTAAAACGTACTGAATAATGTAGAATTAACCAAACTAACCAAAGAAAAAGATTAGCAACCAAAAGTATAATTGAAGTAATTATCTGTTACCTTTGCTCCTTATGAAAATATTGCCTGGGATGCAAAGAGCTAATTTTGATTTGTTCATGTTTCTGTCCAGCAAGAAAGATTTCAACCTTTTCTTCCCTTTGAAAAATATGTTGTGCCACTTTGCAGGTTGTGGTGCCCTCTGAGTTTAGTTATTTGCTACTAGACAAGGTAACATTCCCAGTGCTAGAAGGAGTGATTTTGATCTCTGTTTATGTATAGTAACTTGCCATCTTGGTGTGGTTGGTTTGTGATTTTCTAAATGCATAAAGGTAAACAAATTTGCTTATCATTTAGAATAGAATAGAATACCTTTGTTGTCAATGCATTCAAAATACAGTGAAATTTGAAAGTTACTCCAGCACAGTGCCCCAAACACAACATCACAATCACGCTACACAGTATTTAAAAAGTAAAATAATTAAAGTAATAATAATAATTAAAAACCTAGTCTAAAACCTATTTAAAACATATAAGTTAGATAGTTTAAAAATGCCACTTTATACATAGAACTAAATCACAAATGTACTGTTTGATTCAAGGCAATTATTGCCTTGGGGAAGAAACTGTTTCTCAGTCTTATTAGTCCTCATTTTAAGACACCTATAACGTCTCCCTGATGGTAACAATTTGAAATATGAATGACCAGGATGAGAATGGTCTGTGGAGATTTTTTGTGCTCTAGAGAGAAGTCTGGTCTTCGCAATCTCTTCCAAAGAAGAAAGAGAGCAACCGATGATTTTTTGTGCTGTATTTATAACTCTCTGGAGCATCATCTTATCCACTACAGAGTATCCAGCATACCACACCGTTACACAGTATGCCAAAATGCTCTTGATGGTAGAATGATAAAAAGTAACCAGCAATTTCTCACCCAGACCACTCTTTTCCAGCAGCCCCAGAAAGTGCAGGCGCTGTTGGGCCTTCTTTGCAGTGGCCATAGTGTGGACCGACCAAGTAAGGTTGTTGGAAATATGAGTTCCTAGAAATTTAAAACTATGAACCCTGTGGAGAGCCAGTGTTGAGAGCAAGAGTGGAGGAAAAATAGCTGCCAATCCTAACAGTTTGGGGTCTGTTAGTAAGAAAGTCCTTTATCCAACAGCAGATGTGAGAGGAGAGGCCCATTTCTAGCAACTTCTTAATCAGTATATCTGGAATGATGGTATTAAAAGCTGAGCTGTAATCAACAAAAAGCATCCTTACATAGCTCCCACTATGCTCCAGATGTTTCAGTGCAACGTGGAGAGCCATGGCAATAGCACCCTCTGTGGATCTGTTATTCTGATAGGTAAACTGGTATGGGTCAAGGTTTGATGGGAGGCAATCTTGTATATATTTGAAGACCAGTATCTCAAAACACTTCATAATTATGGGTGTGAGAGCTACTGATATATAGTCATTTAAAGTATCAGGAGAGGACTTTGGGGGAACTGGAATAATGGAAGTTTTGAGACAAGATGGAATGGTTAAAAATATTTGTAAACACACTTGTGAGCTGATCAGCACATGCTTTGAGTACCTTCCCAGGTACCCCATCAGGGCCAGTGGCCTTTACATTCACTGCTCTAAGCACCTGCTTCACATCTTACTCTTGTACTGTGAACAGCTGAGTATCGGTGGTTTGTAGAGGCAGTGTGTTCGAAGACTTATTCAGTTCGAACTGGGCAAAGAAGCAGTTTAATTCTTTTGCCAGTGATGCGTCCTTTTTGATCGATATGGGGTTGCTGCCCTTGTAATTAGTGATGTGTTTAATTTCCTGCGAAGCCCATCATGGATCATTATTTGTGAAGTAGTCCTCAATCTTCCCTTTGTGTCCTTTTTTGCTTCCTGGATGCCCCGCCTCAGTTCCACTCTTGCCTTGTTATACCAAACTCAGACCTGAATGCCATATCACATGTCCTGAGAAGTAATTGCACGTTCTTGTTCATCCAGGGCTTCTGGTTTGGAAAAATCTGGATGCGCTTATTCAGGGTAACTGTATCCACACCGGTCAAGATGTAAAACAGTAGTTTTTGTATATTCCTCCAAATCCTCTTGTTTAAATAAATTTTAAAAAAAGAATAAATAAGTTAAAAGGAAACAAAAAAGTCAAAATGTATCTTCTCCAGTAATCAACACTCAGGAAAGCAGGGATTAACACCAGACAATCAAGCAATAAATAACAGTGTAGTCAAGGAACTATCAAGAAGCAAATGTCATCCCATCCAAGCTAGCAGGGCAAGCTGGTATAAAACCTATTTTCTCCCAGCACTGAGAATGTTACTTAGTCTAGTAGTGATATGTTTCCTTAAGCCAATAACCAAGCTCAAAGTACCAAGGACCCCACAAATCCAACCCCAAGTTATATGTGTTCTCTTCTACTGATATAACAATTCAGATACACAGAGTATTTTGCAAAAGTTTTTTGGAGTCTAGCAATTTTTTATTTGTTCCCTGTCCTGTATCATACAAACTAAACAAGCCAGTAAATAATGAAAAAATACTGTCATTTTTTTAGAAACAAAATATATTCTGAACATGTATGAAGGTGATGTGTCTGTAATGTGGGTTTCTTTAATAACAGTTCACTGAAAAATAGTAAAACAAAATGAAAATTGTTACAGAACCAGCTTTTTTTACTGATTGCTGTTCATCCAATTTGATTCATTTGGAAGGAATGTACATTTTGTGTATATATCAATTGTTTGGGTTTTTTTAAACAAGTTTTATTCAACTTTTCACATTGCAAATACTAAAAGGTTCTTTTCAGTGGACAACATATTTCCGGGTCATCACTTTTACATGCAAATATGACAATAGTTATATATTCATTTTTTACATTCAACTTCCTATCTTATCCAATTTTTACTTAATTATTACCTTTTCCATTCCTACTTTTACAGAAAAGAATAAACAAATTAATCCTGATCTCTAATATTAATCTCAATCTAAACATCCTCTCGTTTTATTTCAAGTATAATTCTTAAACATTAATATTTCTTTTAAGAATAAAGATAACAATATGTGTTTGCCTAATTAAAAAAAATATCAATGTCTTTCCTTCCTCTTAATAATCTATCTTAACTTATTAATACTCTGTTCTCATTTGAGTAGTTCTTTTATCTGTCAGATTTGACATTTCATCGCATATTCTTTCTATAATTCTAGATTAGTACAAGCTTTTACACGAGAAAAAAAAAACATAAGTTCCCCCCCCCCCCCTTTTACTAATTTGAGTGTGTCACCTCAGTGGTTAAAATAATAATTCCCTAAAAAAACCAAAACTACATAACATATCTTTTCAATCGGATGCCGCATTGTATTTTACCCCTTTGATTATAAGATTTATTTATAATTTCAAAACAAAAATAAGAATAAAAAATAACTATTCTGGTCACTGATACTAACCTCATTTTTAAACATCTTCACATTTCATTTCAATTCAATTTATTTAATAAACATTAGCATTTAAGGATAAGAATAAAAATATAGATTCATCTAATAAGAAATATCAGTGTCCATCCTTTAATATTCTATATTACTCTATTTTCTAAATATTTTATGATTGCAAATATATTCTTGTTACCCCTCATCTCCATGCGGAATCCCCCTTTTTAATTCCTTAACCATTATCTCTATGAAAGCAGTTTCCTTTCATCATTTTATAGTTCCCATATTTCTTTATTTCCTGCTCCTGTTTCTTATTGCCTCTCTTCCCCTTCATTTTTCCATATGTTTTCTCCTTCCAGTTTGTATCCCTCTCTCTTTTTATATCTTCTTTTCCCTTTTCTGCTGCGCCTTTCTACCTTTCCTAATTTCATAGGTATTCCCCTTTTTAATTACCTTCTTGGATCTCAAATTTTTAACCGCCCTTCTTTTCCCACTTCTTTGTGGTGTTCTTTGTGTTAATTGTCTTTTTAGGATGGTTTCTCCTTGAAATAACTCCTCCTTTTCTGAAGTTCTTTCTTCTTCAATCGCCATTTCCATAATTTCTTTTTTTTTTTAACAACTTTTATTAATTTTTTTTAAAAAACATACACAAACAAACAGAACATAGGATGTAGTAACATAAAATATCTTTTTCTAAAAAACACATCGAATATCTTATTTAAAAACAAGATAATTCCAAATTATCACATTTCTATACAAAAACAATTTAATATATATATTTATCTTA